CCTAATATCAGTTTTTAATGTTCCTGTATTCATTCTTGTTCGTATATTAAAGAATACCTGAATATGATAATCAAAATATATTCACTTGGTTTCTCCTTGTAATTATTTCATGAAAGAGTAAATAACCTGTAGTGTTTACTGATGCACTGATTTTCCTGATCTTCAAAACTGAATATGTGAAACATGTTCCTTATAGCGAGCTATTCTAGACCAATATACTTTCCATCGTAATCCTCACAGTTTATTCCGTATATGCCAGGTTTTTCCTTTTCCGTCGTTTCGTCTTTCAGGTTGTCCATCGCAACACAAATATACGAGCAGATTCCAAAATCACTTACTTGTTGAATTTTTCTAAAATCCAGATGCATTTGGTTCATTAGGAAACAACTATAAATCTTAAATATTTATATTTCTGAGAAATCAAGGATTCAGGAAGACATTCTTTCAATTTCGTTTTCCCAATTAACTCATCCATCTCATCAGGTTCTCGTTAGTTGGTTTTAGATATTTCCTCGATGAATTTTTCCCGATCTCATATCTGTCTCTATTGAAGAGAAACCTAACCAGTCTATGGATACGTATCAAGAGCCTGAATTTTCCATAAGGTGTCAAAATGTCTGATATGGGAAAATATCAGAAAGTGGGTCAATGAGAAACATCAAGAGTACTGACAAAATATGGGAATACACACTGGGAAACTTCCATAAAGGAACCGTGAGAAAAAACTGAAGGACCTCCTCAATCGATCGTCTCAGAATAATTACAGAAAAACTCAGTGGACATTGTCTATTTGAAAACATATGAACAAAATAGGGCTGCATAGCCGATACCTCCATGCCATAAGAAAATTGAAGGTTATAGACAAGACCATGAGTCTACAATTATTTTTAGCTCTAGCTGCTCTAAGAAAACATAGGAAATAAAACGTCAAAAATTACATTATTTTAAGTCCGAATTCACTCAAATATAAACCAACAATAACTGCATTGAAATATGAACTAACCGATTGAGATTGATATTTATATCAAAATAATTCCACATCACAATTGTCAAAAAATGTATTAAGCATTATTTGAATCAACAATTTTGAAAGAAGTTATCCACATCTGAATATGAAGAAAGTGATCGTTGAATAAAATTACCGGGGACTGATGGAAATATAGTACTCACTTCCCCAAGCACCCTCATTTATTTGTTGAGACACAACCAAGCTTGTGATCGAAGGATGGACGCAAGTCATTGAAAATAGTATCATAACTATCATAACACCAGCAGGCCATATATCCTTCGCAACTTCTTTCACTTCTGACCAAGAAAATTTGTTATCTTTCCTTTTTTGATCTTCTGCGCTGTCTTCCGAATAATAGGCATATAATTTCGTATATTTAATTCCTGAAGTCATGGAAATTTGTGCCACTATCAAAATAGTTCCCGTTGAAAAATAAATAAGTGCTCCATCTATGTCTGAGTCAGTGACGGATATACAAATTATTTGAATAAGGTCTGTCAGAATTCCTCCACCTGTTCCCAACAGAAACCATTTCAGGAAATTAATAGGAAACTTCGCCAGTAATATCATCGAAAACATTTGGTAGATGGCAAGTGTAGCTGAAAATGAATAAAATAATTTTGTAATGATTGTTCAAGTTACGTAGGAAGTGTTCTGATATGTGGAAGAGGCCATTTCCCAAAATATTTTCATTCAAATATAATGCACAAATTTTTTCATAGGACGTATTTCTCAATGTCATATGATATTTTTATTATTGCTCTTCAACTATCTCTTGTTTACAGCATGATTTATTTGAATGATCTCAAAAAGTACAAGATTGGCCCTGATGAAATGATATACCATTTACATTTCTGCCACCTCCACTTTTTTAAGTTTATTTGATTTCTGAATTAAGGAAGTATCTGTGGAAAGGTAGGGTGGAATCATACTAGTTTTATTATTGAACCAGGATAGGTTCCACAATTATAACAACTTATATTTTTATTCAAATTTTCCTATCTATAAAACTCCTTGAGAATAAGTATACTTAGAAATTGGTGGTTTGGTTTATCGATGAAAACATATGATCACAGTGGAATTAGAATAAATTACCAGAAACAATTGTTAGCAGCAGTTTTTAGTTGAGATGTGAGCAAGACAATTTCCAATTTTCATTCAAAGGTTCCTTTCACAATCCAGCCAAGTGCTGTTGGTGAGATTGATGATAGATGTGTTATCTAACTGCTTGTTTTTGCAGTGGAAGCTGCTATTGATGACGTCTTTTTAGTCGTTGGGGTATGCAAATATATCCTAGATAATTTCAATATACTCTGTTGGTCTCGAAATTGTTACAATTTCCATGTTTCAGGAGGTTGGAAATCGATTCTATTCTCGATAAAAATGAAGTGATAGGTTAATGTTTCCATAAAGTCAATTTCAATTATTTAGGAAATACGTATGCTGCGGACGTTAAATGTCTATACTGTCAGCTTTTGAAAAAGACTTGATCATCGACGTCGAAAAGGATTAACTTGAAAAAGTATCATTTCGAATACTTTTGATGGAAAATAAAAGTGTGGGCGCTTGTTACCGTCAAATGAAAATTAGGGTCAGTTTCGTATTCTTTTTAGAATCCTCAAACTAACGATGAATATCGTTCAGAAAATTTTATTCAAAACTCTCTTCAATTACACATACTTTCAAGCCGTTTATTCATGAAAACCAGACCCTATTCCATAATGTTAGGAATGGATTTGTAGACAAACTTCATATTATCAGGTAGTGATAAAAGTCGAAAATTGTGCGAGCTAAGGACTCACGAGGTCCTACCTTTAAACATGTGATTCCTAACACGAGGCTATAGAGTATTACTTTCTGTTATTTTTTGTAGTCTCCCTCTCTTCCAGATAGGTATTATTTAGTATTCATGTTTTTTTTCAATATCGCCCCTAGCAGTGACTCTTCGTAGTAATTATTGACATTTCAAATTGTATACATAATTTCTGAAGCAGTCTTCTCGAATTCTTGCTCAACTTATGAAATATCGAGTATTCCGAGTTGTTTTTTATATATTTAATGATATTCATTTCAGAGCATCATTGTGCTCATTTTTCACTTCTTGAAAATATATATAACTCCTTTTTACCCACAACTCTCTAATGTGTGATATGGTGATATGAAATTTTATGCCATATTGTGATTAAATAAATGGAATAACATGACAGTCAAAATACTCAACGCTATTCACTCCCATCAGCATCATCGTCATGACAAAAAATCCAGTCTGCCCTAAAAAGTGAAGATAATTATTTTCTCCCAAAGTGAAAGTTGTAAGTAGAATCATAGATTCTTACATTTTGACTACACACAGAATCAATCAGTATCACATCTAAAGTTTTCAAGTAAAAGAAAATTGACAAAATGTGACAAGAAATTGGATCTAAGATAATGTATCAACAGTTTTTCACAGAAAGAAGGACTGTTTGTTATCATCATTTCTGGAAAAAATGTAGCGGGTGACATTATACAAGGTTAACCGGTATTTAAATGAAACACGCTACATTTTTTTGACTATTCGATTGGTGGCCACTTCCTTTCAAAATAGCTGAAAAAAGTCATTTTCTTCAAATTCAATATGACGGCACTATGACATCATCCATATAAATATGTCAAAACAACTTCAACGGAATTTGCCCAGTTTTTTATTGAAAATTCAAAAATTGAAATATGTGAAGGAGTGAGTAGGTAACTGTAGCTATTAACTCACGATGCTATGGAACAGCTTTTACACTTTCACTTCTTCACTGACAGAAAAAATGAACAGCATAGTATTCCCGACATTTTTTTATAATGAAAGAGACACACTTCGAAATCAAAGCTTGATAAATATTACTCCCTAATAAGATTTTCTGGATGAAAAGATAGCATTTGAGAATCAAGAAAAAATACGTGAATTGGTGAATAATTAAAATTTTTGAGTTTTCATCCAAAAAATGGACCAAATCCGTCGTTCCCTTTTCTCTTCGTCGAGTTATTTGACAATATTTCTATAGATGACGTCATAGTGCCGCCATACTGCCAACATTTTGAATGGAATTAGCCATTAGAATGTGTTATATCGTTGAGGAAAGGATTTTCTATCCGGTCTAGTCTAGTCTGATATAATGTTTATTTCAAATTGTTTGTATTTTTTACATATTCATTCAATTTCATCACTATTCACTAGTCTAGTATGAATACCGTCAATCATATCGTCATGCAATGTAAAAAGTACGACTTTTCATTATAATGGATGATCCTATTTTATAACGAAACCTATTTTGATTCTTTGAACATCCCGAAGTTTATTATATTCTTATTTTCTGTTAATACGATTCCTAATTAATAAAATCATCATTGGGAGCATTATATAAAGGACCTGTATTTAAGTTAAATGTCTCACTTACATGAGTCTGTGTTGATTTGAGAGAACAATGAAAGAATCACAAAAACCGAAAGGATGACAGTCAACGCGGACAAAATACATTTTCGTGAGTCAATCCTTCCTGCGTAAATTGTGCCCAAGATGGTGAACAGTACAGATGGTACTGAAGTGGCAATCATTGATGTTGACTGGTAAAGAGATTGCAATGACGTTCTGCTTATATCATGTGCTGGTGCAGTTGTATTTCTGAACTTGAACATCCAATACTGAAAATAACAATGAAATGATTATATCAAGTGTAATATCGTTTCAAAAAATTATTTTGAATACCATACAGTTATCTTTCTAGGAACAACTTTGAGAAGTATCCAGAAGCCAGGCTATTTTTAAGAGAAGACGGCCAGGAAAAAGGTAACAATATAACATTCCAAATATGTCACTTTAGGCACTATTATAATGTAAAATTTATGTTTGAATAAAATTGTTATAAAAGATTAAATTTAAGATTTATTATACAATGGACAATATCAAATTGAACAATTCCATTGTCCATTATCAACAAACAATGATAATATTTGTACTCACATTAAATGCTGTTCCGATGAACACCAATGGCATCAATGTCATGAATCCCATGAAGAAAAAGTAAAAGTTACATAAATAAAAAGTATCCTTCGGTGCATTCTTGATTTTCTCAGCAAATCTTTTATCGTAATTTTTCCCAGTTGATGAAACAGAAATGAGAGATTCTGAAAAGCAAAGTCCATTATTAGATAATACAAAAGTGATTTTTCCAACTAATAAAATTCTTTATGAAAGCAACGAACCGCCTATACCGGATTAACATCAAGAATGGCCAAATATTTCAATATTTTTTTACCTGAAACCATTGATTGATGTGTGCTTGTAAGTGAAAGTGTTCCCTGTTAGATATATAGACTACTTTCAGAGTTAAAATTGGTGTTGCAGTTCTGATAGTTAGTACCAGGGCTTCTTTTGAAAATTCAATACATTACATATGAGTAATATAATATATAGGTACCCAAAAATTACCCTCCCGAAATTCAGATTTACTCTAGACACCCCAAAATTTAGATCTGAATCCGCTTTTATCTGGGGGGTTCAGAAAGACATTTCGGGGAGAATCCACAACTCGATATAAAAATTTAAAATAATCGTGAAACAGTGAAAATCAAAACCGATTCAATTTAAAAAATTAGGAAGCAATATTCTACAATCATTACTTTTGTAACTAGGTTGTTATTAGCCAGTTTTACGTCTTTGTTTACACTTTTTTTCTCCAGACGCGGTTCAACCCGAACTCAACAACATACTACTGTCCGCGGAAACCTATTTGTTCTGTTCCCATTTAAACTAATTTTATTTTGTATCACACTGTATGTATTTATATTAACAGGAGTACCATCGAGTATCGGGCGTGCGTGTGTGATACTATAGGCCGAGGGACTTACCGCCTCTCTGACCAGTGTCTAAAAATCTGCCGGCGCAACTAGAGAGCTCATCTCACCAAGGTATGTCATGAAAGTATAATTACAGTGATATTTCCAATGTATAAACGTATCAGTAACCTTATTATAAACAGTCTGCTTATATTGAAGAATACCACCTGTTTTGGTACAATCGAACCGGGATTTATATAAATAGTCATAGCAATGTTCACTCTCTCAATCGACCGATGTGTGAGTCGCTAGTTCAAGCCGCAGGCTGAACGATCGATTTTCACTTGCTGTCGTCCAACCCGTATTAAGAATCACACGTTGAAAGGTATGACCTCGTTAGTCCTTAGGTCGCACAAGTTTAGACTTCTGAGTGTTGTTGTTCGTAGGGTGCGACAGCTGGTTAACGGAAAAAACATATTTTAACATAACACAACAACATAACATATTTAACATTGTCTTTGTTTTTTTTTCATTAGTAAAAAGTTTATCATCAATTGGGACTTTCTCTTATTTCATATGCTCATAGATCGCGTAGATTCTGCCACGGTCACTACTTTTGAATTAAAATGTGGATCTAATTTGCAACAAGAGTTTCATTATGCCACTTCAATCAGATTTTTGCAAAAACGTTGCACCACGTTAGTATCAGTAAATCTCGATAGTTTTCAGCCTTCTCTACATTTATCAATAATAATAATTCGGAAAGTAAACTCAAACCATCATCTTTCATTTCACATACTCAAAATAAATGTCAGCTTTGCAAAGAAACACATTTGATTTATAATGTTTCTTCTTTTTTAGTTCAATTTTCTAAAGAAAGATATTCTTTGGTTAAATCTCAAAATTTGTATTTTAAATGCCTACGTTTTTGCCACAATTCTCGTGTTTGCTCTTCTACCACTATGTGCAAGAAATGTTCTGGTAGAAACCACAGACTTCTGCATTTTGAAAATGTTTCTCAACCATCAGTCATTTGTAATAATGTTAAACCTTGCACCTCAAATGCTGTTTGCTTATCAGATAATTCTGATTCTCCTCAACCTCATGTCAATCTCTTGTTTCAGTGTAATTCCAGTCTCATTCCCTCTGCTACTATAATTGAAATGAAAGGAGAACATGGAAATTTTCATAAAGTCAAAGCTGTCCTAGACAGTGCAAGCCAGTCTAATTTTATCTCCTCAAAATGCGCTCACCGTTTAGGTTTATCTCAAGATAAGAAATCTGTCTCTTATGTCAAGGATAATAATAATAATGTTTATTCAACATGAAGAAAATAACAAAAAGCAATTGAGCATTAGATAAATACCATAAAATAAATATAGGTACTCACAGAGGCAAGTGATTGCTTTTACGTGAGAGAAAACACAAAACACTACAGGAAAATCTTTGAAGCGCTCTTAGAGCGGTGCCTGCGACAAAGTAGTGATTCATATTGGATTTGAGTCGCTGGAGATTAAATACATTTGGAGAAACGTTCTCAGGAAGTTTATTCCGCATAAACCCTGTTCTCCAAATGAAAGAGTTTTCAAACGGTGAAGTTCGAGGTGTACTGAGCTTAACATCAAAACGATGAGCAGCCACAGTCCATCTCGTGTTTCTGATATGTACCGCTCTTGGTGAATCAAACGTGCCAAGTCACTTGAACAATTCCCGTGAAAGTATCTATAGAAGAGATAAATTTCCAACCTTTCTTCGATGTTCCAGACTATCAAAGTTGCAAGTGATGTTCGCCTCTCCAATCAAGCGAATGGCTTTTCTGGATGGGCTCCAGCAGCTTCAGGGTATGTTTGGAGGCGGAGCTCCATACATGAGAACATTACTCCAAATAAAGTCTGATCTGAGCTTTATAAATCATCAAAAGTTACAGAGGTGTGTACAGTTTTTTGGTTCGAAACAGTGTTCCAAGCTTTTGAGAAGCAGCTTTTGCAATTTCAGCAGCGACATGATTATACCAAGACATATTGGTGTCCATTTCAACCCCTAACAAACGTATCGAAGCAGAAAGCGGAATTGTCTGACCTGACATTATTATATCCGCTTCGGAAACATTTATCTTTTTTGGATAAAACCGATAGCTGGATTTTTGTGGCATTGAATTGAACCTGGTTTCTTCCACCCCAATTCGAAATTACTTCTAGATCCTCGTTAGAATATGCAAACTCCTGCAGCCGGTGAAAATGTACATCCGCCACCGATGTCCTGGAATCCAAATGTAATAATGAGACAAGTGTGCTGTCGTCAGCAAAGTAATATATTGGATATTGGTTTTCTCCAATAATTCGTTGATAGAAAGGTTGGAGAAAATATGGATCCGTGGAGAACACCAGCATTGATGGTGAAAGTTTTCCAGAGATATCCATCGACGGCCACTTGCAAATAACGTTCTTTCAGAAAGCTGAAGAGCCATACACAAAAATGATCCGACAAGCCATAGCATCGAAGTTTGGCCATTAAACCCTCATGCCACACACGGTCAAAGGCTTTAGAAATATCGAGCACAACAGCTCTTGACTCTCCATGTTTCTCGATTGAGTTATTCCAAATATGGGTGATATACGATAGAAGGTCGCCTGTTGACCTTTGTTTCCGAAAGCCATATTGATGATCGCTCAAGATGTTTAAGTCTTCCAAATATTTGAGGATGTGATGGTTTACAGCTTTCTTGCCCTATTTGGGAATAGACTGAACGCTAGCAATCTTCCAACATGAAGGAAAAAACCCTTTCTTGTAAGACAGGTTGAAAAATCTGCACTTTTTAAGTACGATGACGGGCACTTCATCAGGGTCAGACGCCATGTTGATATTAAACTGTTTCAAAATTCGCTTGACTAGACGCTGTCGAAAAATAATTTCCGGGATTGTGGATTCTGGTGTGGGAATAGTGGTGTGGAATTGAATCATCCGCTTGTTTTAGTGGTGAAATTGTGGACCCGCTGGGATTGGCAAGCAGTTTATCCCTAATTCTCCGATTGTGAAGTTCTTTGCTTTCATTTAGCCTAGGTTTGCAGCTGTTGTGAGCAAAAACAAACCTAGTTCGGTTTTCGGCACTGGGATTTTTGCGCCGCCTCCGGTAGGTGAGATTTTTGGAGGCGACAGCTTATTCGCAATTTTTGTTGAACCAAGGTTTGCCGTTAGAAGGTCGTTTCATTGGAAAAGGAATATATGCATCCATGGATGATAGAATAACTTCCATGACTTCAGAAACACAAGTTGATGGATGTTCAGAGCTGAAACAAACATCTAGTCAGGGGAAATTTCGGAAATGGTCTTGAAGATCCTCCCATTCAGCTGATCTATAATGCCAAACTTTGCGTGGCTTACATTGTTCCTCAACATTTATTGGTGATTCACTCAATACTGAAATGNAGACTGCATCCTTTTGTAGAAAATGGTTATATGGACGACATAATTATTTATTTCCCAACAATTGAGCACTTGCAGAACTTAAAGTTACTCTTCAAAAGATAACGTGATGCTAATTTAAAGATACAACCCGATTAATGCGAATTTTCAAGGCAAGAAATTGCATATCTAGGACATCTCACAAACAAAGATGAAGTAAAACCGAACACGGAAAAACATTACCTATTGTATAATAGACTTCCCAGAGCCTGTAAACGCTAAAGAAAAAACAAATTTTTTAGTTTAGCAGGTTATTACCAGAAATGTATCCCAATTTATTCTGAAATATCCAAACCAATGACACACTAGCTACAAAAGGACGTAATATTCAATTTTGACAGTGAATGTAAACTTGAATTCCAAGTATTAAAAGAAGCATTAACGTAACAACAGATGTATCTTCCTTTGCAATGGGAGCAGTATTGTCGCAAGTACCCATAGAAAAGGATTTACCTATTGCCTATATATGCATCCTGAATACTATAAATACTGAAAGAAAGAAAGAAAAAACTTAAATCAGATTTGATAGTCACTTACATCATGAACCAATCATGTATATCACAGGTGATAAAGAACATGTAAAAGAGTACCAAATCAACAATAAGTTAGAAAATGTAGTGGGCCTTTAAAAGTAATAGAAATTTTCAAAATCTCAGCATTACTGAGAAATTCTGAAACTAACCAAACAACACAAGTCAATTTCCATAGACTGAAACTCAGTTTTGTTTCAGATCAAGAATGATTCTTGTACTGGCACCTATTGACCCAATAATCAACACCAAGTTAATGTTAATGCCGTTGGACAACACAATAGGTATTTATTATCATAAAACAGAAAGCTAGAAAATATCAAATGGGAAATGGACTTGTTAGTTGTAAAAGACATGGCACCTTTGAAAGAAGCCATTGATCATAATCGAAACATATTGAGCAATTTTATTCACCTTATCGAAACAAACAAATTAGAAATGAAAACTTTTAGTTTAGAGAATTACTACATATCAGTCTTCTGAATAAAGTAACTGATT